TTTCAGCCTCCTAGACTCCGTGGTTCCCGAGATATTAACTTATCCGTGAATAACTTTCACGGGGCCATACGTGTTACCAGCGGGTACGGGGGAGCTGAATTTAAATTTGCAGGGTCACACGTGGGTACGTGTTACCCGTGGGTACCGGGAAGCTGAATTTAAATTTGAAGGGTCACACGTGAGTGGGGAACGTCTTACCCGCGGGTACGGGGAAGCTGAATTTAAATTTGCGGGGTCACACATGGGTGGGGAACGTCCGGCCGTACACGTTACCCGTGGGTACGGGGAAGCTGAATTTAAATTTGTGGGGTCACACGTGGGTGGGAAACGTTACCCTATTTCAGCTTCCTAGCTTTTGTGGTTCCCGAGTTGAAAGTTGCGGACAAGTTGCTGCGGACACACACATACACACACACAAACACATACACAGACAACCCCGTGACAATATGCGTTTTGTACTGCTGTTACACAGCACAAAACACATAAAAAGCTACAAGACTGAAACTATGGAAACTTAGTCGACACCTATATATGGGCCTTTGTCGCTAAAATGACCACCCACGTCCACCTGTTTCTCATGTGCGGGCGTGTGAAAAAGTTTTTTGGCAGGGAAGCAATTTCGGGAACAGCCCATATTGAGATGCTGAAAACCAACGAAGTTATTCCTTGCCCAAGTCGAACTCAAAGATTTTAAATCAGTCTTCACTCGCCCTTAGGTCTCACGTATGCGCACATCAAAGTTTGAATTAGCATTGTGCCAACTCTAGAATTAAACTGACCAAGAAGCTGTAGAACTGCAATTCTGTAGCGTTGCTTGTCACCCACTGATGTGTCTGTAAAGGTTTCACAAATACATCAGTTTATTTTCCAAATTACTGTAATTAACATACGCGAATGTAAAATTTTCACGTAGTCAGTTTTGTGACTTCCGGAAGTGGAGCAGCTGGAAGGCTGAAACTTCCCGAGCTTGGCCAACGGTGGGTAGGTAAGTGTCAAAACAACTTCACTTTCCTTTCACTGGTTACGCACGTCTCATGTACGAACCCGTGAAATATGATGCAACTTCACAACCAAACCAGCTAGAGCGATGAAATTTTAGCATGGCCTACGACAATGTTTGGAGCGTTCGCGCATAAAAAGAACTTTCACTTTCCTCCTAACATATGAACATGCAGAATTTGACATGATTCCGAAACCAGGGCAGCTGAAGCGTCGAAGTTTTCTGAGCGTGGCCCATGACACAAGTGTTTGGGCAGACACATGCTGAAGTGACATTTACTTCTCTTTCACGCACGAACGCGTGAAATTTGATGTAACTCTTCAATCGGCGCACCTAGAAAGCTAAATTATTTTTATCATTGGTTGGAAGTCACTGTAATAATTTCTGACAGTCGTGGGGGGAGGAGCAATCTCAGTTCTTTTAGTAAGAAGCGTCTGCCTGAAAAAACAGTGCCGTAAGAGATAAAAACCTGCGGGGAACTGTGTGAAAAAAGCCTCTTCGCACCGGCAGTTGATGCGCTGGCCAATTATTCTATTTCTCAAGCACGCTTAACTTCAGCATTAACTTCAACTTCTTCACCCACTTCTGTTTTGAGATCGTAGCAACAGCGTAAGCGCTATTTAGGCTCAAAATTAATCATTAATTTGACTTTTTGGGCTTCAGATCAAGGAAACTTGACTTTTGCGAATGTCAGCTATGTTCATTAGATAACATCTCACAAACATAGTCGTTTTCCTTCGTGTACTTGGTAGCTTTCATCGCCAGTTTTAGCGTCGCATCCTGTGCAACATTAGTAAGATCATTTCTCAAAATGTGTTTCTCCTGGTTGGAACTATAATAATGGCGACAATAATGACAACAATGACGATTTGGATTGCTCCAGTTTGATAATTAGGTTTGTGTGTTGGTGGGAAATGAATGGTTTTAATTTGATAGCAGCGCCGACAGTCGCGCAGCGATACGGGACAAGGCAGTCTGTCGCCGCAGGCTGAATGATGACAGTGCGCCGATATGGCATGAATCTTTTAATTGCAACAAACAAATCCACTGAGGCCAAAGTACTCGATGGCGGGTTTTGCGTTTTTCATGGTTTGCAAGCAGTATTTTTTCCGTTGACAAACTCGAAATCAAAATGGTCGCAGATCTGTTCGTTTTTCCTCCGACAGCAGCTGGCCATACAACTCGCAAACAAAAGAGAAAACTCAAAATTTTCAGATGAGCTGAAAGTTTTGAGTGCTCTCTTTTGTTTGCGAGTTGCATGGCCAGCAGTA